GAAATTCACATCCTCCCCCAAAGCCTGTGTGGCTATTGCAGTGGACAGGAGAGGTTCACCCTGATCCCCAGGAGCCTGCGACCTCCAGAAGATTGGGTACTGAACCACACAAGTATGCAGAATTCTATGCCCCAGCAAAGAACACAGGAGGCTGGGGAGGGCCTGTTAGCCTGCTGGAGGGGTGCCCGCTGGGCAGGGTGTTGAGAGGCTCAGGAAGTCTGGCCTTGGAGGGTGGGGGCAAAGGGAAAGGTGTTCTGAGAGTAAGTAAGTCCTAGGGGCTCAGCAGGAGAGTTGGAAAGGGAAACAGAAAATCCAAAGCTTCCATGGCAATAAGGGTCAACAGCAAATACCTACAAGTCCCTGCGGAAGAAGGGAGATGTAGGCTGCAGCAGGATAAGGCTCCATAGTCCCTGCAGAGTGACCGCCCCCCTGCTCAGGAGCCCCATGCACAATATCATGCCTGTGCCAAGGCACCGCAGCCCTCAGGTAAATCACTCCAAACAGTGACATGTAGTCCCTGAATCTGCCATTTCTTGAGAACAGCCCCAATTTCAACTTTAAGATGTTCCTTCCTGGGTTACTTTTTCCAACTAGTAAATCCTCTGTTACCAAAAATACTGGAGAAACATGCGTGGCTGAAACTGCTGAACTACTCAGCACCCCATTTCTGCCCCAAATCTTTTCATCAACTTGAACTTGTTCTTTCGAGAGCAACAGCAGTGTCTACCCAAAGGATACTTAGAATAGTTTCTCACAACTTCCTTGGCAACTTCCATACTTCAGGGCCTATAGCAAGGTCTTTCTGGGACTGCTGGGAGTTTATAGGCTATGCCGTGGGCAGCAGCTTGACCACAGTATTTATTTTTCAAATGTCATTTGTTCCAATCTGCTTGTTCTGCTACTTTCAGGACTGTTCTGTGTCTCAGAAGTTGCCATGGAGACTTAGAGTCAGAGGGCAGGGCTCTGAGGACACAGAAGCCCTGTACTTCCTTTGTGGGTCCATTCAGTGAGGAAGTCAGGTCACCTCCACCCGCATCCCTCCTGGGCCCCTGTCACCCCTCAGCTCAGGACCACTCTGAACAACAGAGAGCAGCCCCAGGTTGGAGGACCTGAGAGGGAGGGTGACTGTGCGAGTTAGTGTCTTGCACGTGGAGACTCCGCAGCACCTTGAGAAGGTTCCCCAGCAGGGTTTCTGTCTGGAGGTGGCAATGAACTCCAGAGGAAAATACCACTGGAAGCCGCCTCTCATGCAGGGAGGAGGCTGGAACCCCCACACTTAGATGGAGATGTCCCAAGTAACCCAACCCGGTGGCAATCTGGCACAGTGGCCAGACTCCTCCTGACCGCCTCCACTCCACATGAGAAATGCAGAAGTAAACTGGAGAGCACCACCAGAGCACTGCCAACTTAGAGAGCCCAGGATGTGGGGCTGAAATCCAGGCAGACTACTTTTTTTTTTTTTTTTTTTGGTGGTACCTGGGATTGAACTCAGGACCTTTTGCTTGCCAGGCAAGCACTTATTCTACAGAGCTATCTCCCCGGCCCCAGAGTCCT